TATATTAAATGTGGAACGAATTTCTTCTGGAGATTTGCCCTTGATCATATTGGCAACAGTTTTACAACCGATATCTCTAAAAGTTTAAATAAAAAAAAAATATATAATAATATACACAATGAATTAATAAATTTATAAAAGAGAAAATAAACAATTACAAAATAATAAAAATAAATAAATAAATTACAATAATGGCTTAATATCCAGATAATTTGCGGCCTAATAATTTATTAAAAAATAATTTAACGATCAAATAGGAAACACAAGATTAAAAAAAATTATTATCATCATTATTATTCATTACCAAAATGATTTCAAATAGCATATCCTGTTCAACACTTAAAAATCTTTGGTCCCAATCATCAATTTCGGTATTTCTCCTACGAGAGTCATCATCGTCATTCGTAGGTTGAGGGTCATTTACGTGATGTTGACACCACTCCAGGACCTAGATAAAATAAATTAATGAAGAATTTACAACTCACAACGTATTAACATAAAAAAATAAAACCAATATATGTAAGAATTATTATTTAATTTACCTTTTTTAGCACTTTTTCGTTGACGTTTGGAAGGGGAATTGATTGATCAGTTTCCCCAACGTCTAACGAAAAATAAATAAATATAAACGCGTTAAAATGCTAAGGTAAATTTAAGTAGAGAAAAAGACAAAAAAAAAAAAGGAAGGAAATAGACATATGCTATGAAAAGTAGATAATCTAAAGAAACTTTTTTATCCTTTTCCCTTATATGATATTTTGCAGATGTTTATTTTAACATATTACCTTCTATCATGTTCTTAAGCAAGATTGAACGACTTGCGACTGGTATTTCTACTTTGAATTCCACATCGTCACAACTTTTCAAAGTAACCTTTTTGTTATCATCGTTAGTGGCAGCTGCGCTAGTACTCATTTTAAATGATTATGCTTGATGTGATTTAGAAAGAAAAAAAGTAGAGGACAGATAAAGTTTTGAGGTTATTTGTGTCGTTGTGTCGTTGTGTAAGTTTTCAATGTTTGAACAGAACAAAGGAAATTTTACTGCGAAACTAAATTTGGGACAAAGATCATTCAACTTGTTACACTAAGTCTGAATTTAACTACAATTTTGGAAATATTTTAAAGAATACCTTACATATCAATAGGGTGATCTCAGTCAAAAAACCAAAAAAAAAAAACCATCTCATTGAATGTAACTAATTAGTGATATTTCCTTTCGAATTTGGGGTCCTCCTCTTCGGGGTAAGAGCATTAATCATAAGATTGATTATAAGAAGAAATAATTCCAAATAATGGGCTTAATCTCTAAATAGGTAGCAACATAATAAATTCATTAATTCGGTGGATTCTTCTAATCGATCACGTGATGATGATCACCTCGCTGCTAAAAGGGCAATGTAAAGGAAGTTTTCTATTATTATTTTTTGCGTATTTTAAAGCAAATACCCCAATAATGCATCTGAGCAAGATTCTCGCAATTGATAATTCAACTTTGAATTCCAACAAATTTTTCAAAAATAATCCTTTCATCTTTGAACTAAATATATCCAAGGTAAACCTTTTAGAGATTAATTTAATTCGTTTCAAGTGTAAGATACAAACGTGAATAGATCAACCTGTAACATTAAACGCTAGGTCGCCAGTAAATATATTTAATATATTACACATAATACAATAATACAGTACATAATAATAATCTATTATCTAAAATACAAAA